AAGGGTCCATTAATAGTGTAGTTGGGTCAGGCTCGTAAAGAGCTTTCCAATAATATGTTATAAGCCTAATTTGTTGAATAATGAGGAAATTATGGCCTAAATACTAAATTGGGTCTGAAATGGTTTTATGGCCCAATGATCTAGTAGAGGGCCCATTAATTATTATTCCTAAAATTATTAGGATTTATTATAATCTTCTAAAATAGTCTAGAAGGTTGTTTTGAGTTCTAATAGCATTATGATTGACAATTAATCTTTTAGAAAAATAATGAATTTGGTTTGCGTAGACACCCATTTGTGTCTCCCCAAAACCAAACCCAATGATGAGTATCTTTCACGTCGAATCATAATCGAATGAAGTGAAAGTGTGGAAAGTCTAGTGTTGCGGTTAGTTTTTATTTCTTTTCTCTTCTCTTTGTTTTTGAAAACCTATTTTAAGAAAACAGTCAATCCAGTTTAGTTTGGTCCATGGCAAGGGTCCAATAATAGTTTAGTTGGGTCGGGTTCGAAAAGAGATTTACAACGATATATTATAAGCCCAATTCCAATGAGTAATGAGGAAGTTATGGCCAAATTACTAAGTTGGGCCCGGTTTGATCTTTATATGTGGCCCAATGATCTAGAGGAGGGCCTAATTATGATTTATCATTCTTAATGTGATTAGGATTGATTATAGTCTTCTAAAATCTTCTAGAAGGTTCTTTTGAATCCTAATTTAATTAGCATTGATAAATTGACTTTAGTTGACTTTTAAGAGTTTTAATCAGAATAAAAGTAGTGTTTTTAAGGAAAATACAATTTTACCCTCTCGTACAATTAAATTTTATCAAAATAAGAAAACGCGTGGAAAATTATTTCTAGCGCCATACGACAGCTTTGTCGCCTGGCGACAGACCCGGCGTTTGGCGACACGCGCAGCGTCTAGCGACAGACGCGTGTTTGGCGCTACATTCGTGTTTTATTCTTTTCGAAACTCTGATTTGTTTTTTATCATATCCGGCTGATTTTCTCTATAAATAGCATCCTAAATCCTCCGTTTTCAAACATCAACTCTCATCAATTCTTATGAATTCTCTCTAATTCTCTCTCTCACCAATTCTCATCAAGAATCTCTTGATTACTCTCTCTCTCTCTTTTCTAAAGTAGCCTTTTACAAACAAAATTTTGCATGCACAAGATCTAGACACACCTAGCCAAGTTCAAAGTTGCCTTCGCCCTAGACGTGAAAGGTTTTAATTTCTGAGGGTTTAGTCCCAAATCTCTATTTCAATTATTTAATTGTTTGATTATTATTTTCCTTGAAGTTACTAACGCGTGTATTTTGTTATTAAAAAGAGGTATGAGACATCTAAGTAAGTGCTTTAATTGATTTATTGATATTATGATATAGAAATCATGTTTAGGTTGTTATTATGATTCCTAGTGTCATGTTAGGGTGTTTTGATCTTCCTAGTATCATGTTTAGGGTAACAAATAAGTTTTCTAATATCGAGTATGACAATTATGATTCCTGTGATGTTTCCTATTCTCTTCTTAATATTCATGTTAGGGCTAAAGCTTTGATTTTTTAATGTTTAGTGACATGCTAGAGTTTGTTATTAATCTTGTTAGTATCATACCTAGGATCTTGCTATTATTATGATTTAACATGATTATTTCAATTATTATTATTATGATTATGTTATTATGTTGCTTGATAATTACTGTTATTGCTTGATCACGCCTTTTATGCATGTTTAAAGGGAATTTGGTACTTGTAATCACGCTTAATAAGATAATTAATAATTTTGTTTAGGGTTAATATGATTATAATTCAAGTGATCGCCAATAATAGATTTATTTGTGCATTAATATTCAACCAACATAAATAAACAGGTTTAGGGTAATCCTATTGCTTGCATGTTAGTCATAAAGCGCACATGAATACGATCAGAATAAAGTAGAGGCCTATTATTAGGGCAGGTTCAATCTATTTTAGGTTGGATTTGTACCTTCATCCCCGAACTACCAGTTATGGTTCCAGACTTATTGGAGTTGACAATCTCTTGGATCGTTAAGGGGTGTAACCTTCACCTCGTGAACGGTTTACAAGTTCCTAAAACTTGTTGGCGACTCTTTTACTCTAGCTTCCTTCCCTTTGGACGCCACCGTACTTTAGTGTATGATCACAGTGGGGTTCAAGTTTGGGATAATGCTTGAAATATTCCCTACAGTTTGAAATAAACCAAGTGCTTTATTTTGATAAAATCTGATTTAAAATTAATTAAAACGGAGTTTTAATTGCTTAATTATATTAAGAAGAGGATTCCGTAATGTAGGTGTCGTTTGAAGTGTGCCTACGTTAAGCATGTGTGATATGCTTGGCACTCATAGGAAGTGCGAATTGACATAATATAATTAGGGACAAGGAAAGTAGGGAGCCGCCAACAAGTTTTTAAGAAACTTATAAACCGTTCACGGGTCATTTAAGGCAACCACGAATAAGGTACAACGAAGGCAACAACAATTGACCCGTGAAGGTTACACCCCATTTATAATCCATGAGATTACTAACTCCATATGGTTCGGAACCACAAAAGGAGGATCGGGGATGATGGTACGAAGTTAGTCATTCGCCCGTATTGGCCTCTACTCGATTCTTATAGCGAAAAGTGATTCTTGTGATCACAAAGGCATACAAACAAAATATTCAATTTGCTCCAAATTATTATTATGCTAAATTGGTTGAATATTAATGCAACATATAATTCTAAAATATTCGTGATCACTTGATTAAACAACAAGATTAAAAAGGAACCTAAACCGGTTGTCCAAATTATCTTATTAGGCGTTATTTTCAATTACATACTCCCTTTAAACATGCAATATGGTGATCATAAAAAAATACAATAGAATAAACACTAATATTGGAAGAAATTCAACAACAAATTATTAGTCAAATCAAATCATAAATTAATCTAATCATGATACTAGCAACAAGAATAAAAATAAGAGTAATTAAGTGATTAATTACTCACTTTCCGCGTTTCCTTGAATTGCTACATCATGAATAAACTGTTAGTAACTTCAATAAAAAAATATATAAATCAAATTGAAACAATTAAATTAACTAAAAAGTAGAGTTGATTTGGACCAAACCCTCAGTTAATTATAGCTTTCACACCTTGGTTTAAGGATGGAACCCCGGGTCAAGTATGGACTCCTTGGAGAGTGCTTAAGGAAGAAATGATGAAAGAATGGGGAGGCTAGTGTTTAGGCTAAAGAGGGAGAAGAGAATGAAGAGAATGATTTGATGATCAATCTTGTTGATTATTGAAAAAGGGGAGATATGACCTCTAATTATAAAGAAAAAAAGAAGGGTCGAAGAATTAAGATAAGATCCGAATTTAATCGGAATAAAACTCGATAGTCAGCAGTTTTTTTGCGATTTTTGTTTTTATCATTTCTTTCAATCCTGAAATCGGGATAAATAATATATCGTTAGAAAGTTGTTGAAGTCTACTATCTAAACCAATGATTATAATCCTTTGTATAATAAAAGATAGGGCCGAAATAGTGGGATGGTCTCAGTTTTGGATAGAGTTTGGTATTTCATTCATATCTTTTCCGTTATAACTCGGAATTGATATTATAATATATCATTGGAAAGGTAATTTCAAGGGCTATCCAACCATATAAGATTTGGATTAAAAAGTATGAGGCACAAAATAATATCTGACTATTTTTTAACGTCTTTCAATTCGAATAGAATTAGGACTTTCAAAAAGAAAAGTTTTATTCAATTTCAAACTCTTTAATCTTATCTTTTAAAAAAGGATAATTAAGATCTTTTAGAAACTTATAGAAGCTTCTAATTAATCCTAATTGGTTTAGGGATGGGATTAAAGCTTTTGGATCCTCCACATGATCATTGGGTCGTAGGTAAGGTGGGATTAGGTTTGATTTGGGCTCAGTTTAGTATTTTGGCCATAACTTATTCGTTATAACTCGGATTTGGGTTTATAATATATCGTTGGAAAGATATTTTCAAACCCCATCCAATTATTAAATCATTGGACCCATATTATGGACCAAAATAAAATGGACTAAATGTTTTTACAAAAAGAACATGAAATGAATGATTTTAAAGGACACGAAATGAATTATTTTGGGTTTAAAGGCACGAAAAGTGGAAAATTAATTATGGTTTGGAGAATTGGGCTAGGAATTGGTTTTTTTTATGAAATACATTGGGATTGAAGCACTCCAAACATTAAATACGCAACCCAACCAATAATGGCGGTGAAAGGTTATTCATAATCGGGTTTGGTTTTAAGGAGACATTTTTAGGTGTCTACGCATACAAAGGCGCGTTTTATCTTAAACCAGCGCCAAACGATAGATTCTGTCTCCATGCGTGATCCTTGTCATTTCGTGCTGGGCTCTGTTGCTGGCGTCAGGGAGTAGTTTTATTCCGAATCAAATTCTAATTTGTTTCTATCGATTTTGGATTATTTTCTTATAAATACGGGTCGTATTTTCCCCTTTTTATTCATTCACAACCATCTAATTTTATTCTTTTGTCTTTAAGCTAGAATCTTATTCTTCTCCCTCTTTCTAAACCTTCCTTTTTTTTTTTTACAAAATTCCACATTCACAAGTTCTAGACACACATAGCCAAGTTTGAAGTTATCTTTCTCCCTAGACGTGAAAGGTTAATAATTTATGAGGGTTGGACCCAAATCTCTTTTTTAATTATTTAAATTAATTGTTTGATTTAATATTTTCCTTGAAGTTACTAACGCGTGTATTTGTTATTAGAAAGAAATACGAGGCATCGAAGTAAGTAATTACTTTGATTATTCTTTTAATATAGAAATCATACTTATAATTTTATATTAATTCCTAGTATCATGTTACTTGATGAGTTACTCAGTTATGGGTCACTCGAGGGGTTACTCGGTCATGAGTTACTCGAGCTATTCGGTCAGTGGTTACTCGAGTTACTCGGACATGGGTTATTTAAGTAGTTCGATCAAGGGTTACTTGAGGGTTCAGTCAGGGGATACTTGACGTGTTACTCGATTAGGGGTTACTTGAGGGGGAGGGGTTACTCGGTTAGGGATTACTTGAGGGGTTTAGTCATGAATTACTCGAGGGGTTACTCGGTCAGGGGTTAATAATTAACACAAAGAAAGATAAAGCTCAAACATGTGATCTAATCCAAGTAATGATCTCCATATCAACATAAGTGTCAATGCTTATCAATTGTTTGTGATATTAATAATTACTAACATTAATATATTTGGATATGAAATAATTATATCTTATAGACTTATCTAATAATTTATATTTCATACAACTAGGAATTCTTGAACAAAATAACAAAAACATTACCAAAATAAATTTATTCAAGTATTCATTAATTAATAGCTACCTAATTTAGGTTAACAAAATGATGCGCGCGCCTACACTTCAACTAGTCGAATAAAACATGAAAATTATAGTGGCCCATGACCACATATCATCTAGTAGTAGTACAAAAATATATAAAAAGCCCATATTTGTTTATCCAACTCTCTACACTCTCTATTCAAACGCTATATTTATATACATAAACACCCACATTCCACAACCATAGATCCTCCTCTCGCTCACACGGTGTAAACTCCTCTCAAAGGCAAGGCGTGCGAGATAGGAAGCCAAGCCGAGAGCGGAGGCGGAGGATCAACAACAACAATGCAAAACCGATTTAGAGGTTGCTCAAAGGCTGATTTCCTACCAGAACAATCATTCCAAAGCTGGTCAAACTATATGTCTGCCCTTAAGGAGACTCCTGCACGGTTCATGAACCGGCTTACGACACGGTCCCTAGACGACACAGAGCTGAATCAAGTCAAGTCTGAAAGTCTCCACGATATGAAGAAGGCATTGACATGGTGGGATCTAACTTGGTTCGGTATCGGCGCCGTGATTGGTGCCGGTATCTTCGTTCTTACAGGCCAAGAAGCAAATCAGCATGCTGGTCCTGCTGTTATTTTGTCTTTTGCAGTTTCTGGTTTGTCTGCTATGCTTTCCGTTATGTGTTACACCGAGTTTGCTGTTGAGATCCCTGTTGCAGGTATTCTTTGTTCGTATATGTTTTTTATTTTTTTTATTTTTAATATGCAATTATTGATTTTTAATTTTATTTTTTTGATAAATTACTTGAGTAATTAAGGTTAAGACTGATTCATTAGTTGAATCCATTATGCTTGTTTCGTTTTTTTCCTCTAAGTTTTTTTTTTTTTTTTTTTTTTTTTTTTTTGGTAACTGCAATTATTGGTTTTTTTAAAAAATATTTTTAATAAATTATTATGAGCAATCAAGGTTAAGATTGATTAATTGTTGATGACTCCATTGTTTCCGTAGTGTTTTTTTTTTTTTTTCGGTTTTGTGGGAGGTTGACTTTATCAAATGAATCTAGACTCTAAGTGGTTTCATAGCATTATTTAGGTTATATTTTTTTTAAAAAAAAATCTTAATTATTTTTGTAATATTCTATCATAAAATTTTATTTTTATAATTCATGTAATGATATAATTAGCAAATCAAAAAGACAATATTTAAGATTATGGAATAAATGAATCGAGACTCTTAGCGGTTTCTTAGCATTAGTTGGTTTTTGTAAAACTCTATCATAAAATTTGATTAACATAATTCATTTAATGGTATTATTACCAATCAAAGTATGATTTTGAAGAGTAAAAAAATAATATATAAGAAAATGGAATAAAGCACTATATAACTAATTAAATTTGTGAATTTTTGTAGTTAAAGCCTCTTGATGATTATAAGAAATAAACCTAAAATAGCTTGTTGTTTTTGTGAACAATCACTTGATTCCATATGTGCCGTCATCCATTAGTTGTAAAGATAAAATATTGGTATATTGCATTATAATTGATCAAAGATAATAACTGTTCAAAAAATTACTCCGTAACAAACAACGAAAATCAAGGCTTACGAAAAGGACAGTCGAAACAAATCTCTTTGAAAAGTAACAACATCCTATAATTCAGGAAGAAATAATATAATTCTATTTTTTAGAATTGTCTTTTGCATGAAAAATTACTCTTTTCTATATTATAAAAAGGATAAGATTACTCTTATAAATAGTGTCATGTCAATTATATCCTCCAAAATATGTATTTACATATATACCCTCATTAATGTGTAAAAGTTTTTGTAATGAATAGTGTTTGGACAATTATACAATCTAGACTATTTATTCACTGTCATTAATAATGATTACTTGTAAAAAAAAAAATATTAAGAATAAAGCATGGAATTTATACCCCTTAATATATTTGTTTATTTTTTTTCTCATTAAGAAGTTGTCAAGAACTAAATTTGTGATGTAAGGTTAAATCGAAAGAGATTTTGGATATGGCTAGCTATCGCGTTAGCAGTCCTAGTTTAATCAAAATTAGTAACAAACAATCAATTATTGGACAGTTTTCAATTATTATTATATATTTATATACCTATATAATGTGATTTGTTTAAATTTTACCATAAATAATTAGAAATGTGAACATACATAAAAGTGAATCCATTTTTCCAAGGAATCTTCAAGATTCCATTTCCAAATCAAATTGATAGTGTATTGATTCAACTTTCTAAGCTATACTAGGATATAGGAAAATTCTAAATAATTAATTTGTTAACCACCTAAACTATTGCAAATTCTTAGATGAATTAATTTATTTTTTATTTTATATAATAGATATAAGACTTATTGTTTTATTTTTTTCATCGTGTGCATGGAGTTTCATATAAAAACAATATGAATATTTTTTTTTTAAAAAAAAAAGGATAGTATGATTAAAATTATTTAAATTCACTTTAAAATTTTAATTTGAGCTATTAAATGGTTTTTTTCATGCATGGTCGAAACAGAAATACTAGTCAAAAAAATTGTAGCCTTTTAAGGTTTTATTTTATTAGATTCCACAAGTTTGATAAATAAAATATGGGATAAAAATAGTAGAGAATAATAAAAGGATGAAAGATTGATTTGTTTTGCCAATTCCATAATATCCTGGTTGTCAACCAGCTAAGAAGTAAATTGATACCGAATAATACAGAGTATTGAGTAATCCTTAACTAAACAAAGTCAAAAATGTGGTGGAAGGGTCATTAGTCAAATACTAGAAACAAATCATGTCTTTAACGACAGCTGTTGAACTTGGACTTGAGAGTGCAACTTATATCTATACAATTTAATCCTTTATTTTATTTCATATTTTTATTTTTTTTATACTAAATTTTTAAGTGTGTATTATTTGATTCAATTGGTCTTTGCGTTGCTGTCCTATGTCTAGTAAAACAATTGAGGAGATAATTACAACTACAATAAATATAAGGAAAATTTGTCAAGAATAAGCAAATTTTTGTTCCATTTTTCCAAAATAAGCAAAGTATTTGATAATCCCAAAGTAAGTTGAATTTTATAGGGTATTTTCTCAAAATAATTCATCATTACCGGTTTGTTTTAAGTATAACCGATTGTTTGGGTTGCTTATGCCACATTTCATTGTGTGGTTGATCAGTTTTTAAAATTTTAATTAAAACTTATTATTCTAATTAGTTTTTGAAATTTTGTAAAAAAAAATTAAAAAAAAAAACACTTTTTCAAGAAAAAAAAAAAAATAAAAGCCTTAATTTTTTAGATACCCCCACTACTATAGCCAGCACCCCTCCCTGCTCTTCCCTTTGGCTACGGTCAATACCACCCAGAGCATCGAAATACCTACACCTCCCATCCCCACCACCGATATCACCATCACTCCTACCTCCACCCTCAAAATCCCCATCGAATCCACTATCCCTAGCCTTCCCCACCACCCAAAATCGCATCAAATCCCCACAATCGAAGTCGCAAATTTGCATAACAACAACAACGAGGTGGGTGTTGGGTTTCGATGCGGGTTTGGTTGGATTTCAATGTCGATATGGTAATATTCTGGTGGTTAGGGTGGGGAATCGAGGTATGTGGTGGTTTTCGGAAGGGGTTTCGTAAAATGGATTTTCGAGGTGGGGTGGTTCAGGTTGGTTTTGAGCTTTCTGTGCGGGTTAGGATGGGTCAACGACCCTCAAGGAGGGGAACAAAGGGGTCAGGGACTCGGGGAGGCCTGAGGGGAAGGTGGTTTGTTTGGTGGCTGGCGGGGATGGGGGTTGAGTGCTGGTATGTCGTGAGGTTTTTTTTAAAATACAATTTAATTAATTATCATTTATAAAATAAGAAAAAAAAAATAATAATTAGAATTAAGAAAAAGTGATCTACTTTGTAGGTTATAGGTCATTTGACTTATTTAAAGAAAATACCCCATAAATGTCAACTTAATCTAGATTAATCAAAAGGTTTGCTTTTTTTTGGAAGATCAAGCAAAGGTTTGCTTATTTTTGACAAATTTTTCAAAATATAATTAGGAGTCATTTTCTTTTGATGCTAAGGTCAAGGTTTTGAAAAATATATTCCAATTCTAATTATTATTAATTTCAAGCTTTCTCAAAAATACAAATATATCATATTGTTGAAAATTAATACGGTACATAATATTTAGGCAAATTTGTCAAAAAATAAAAAAAATTAAAAGCATAATTTCCTAAATAAACCTTTTAAAAGCGAAACCTATTTTCCTAATTAATCTCTAATTAACTTAATTAGACTCTAATTTCTTCTAATTAACCTCTAACCCACCAAATTACTAAATAATTAGATTTAATTAATATAAATATAAAGCCACCACCACCACCTCCCCTTCTTCCTCGCTTTCCCCTCCCCTTCCTCTTCCTTCCTCCTCCCATGACATCAACCCCCTCCCCCACCGGACCCGCTGTCCAAATCACCCCACCTCCACGCGACCTCCTCCACCACCAGACGACCCTCCCTTTTCCACTAATCATCGCCCGACAACCACCTCTTTGATTTTGAAAGACCCTGAAAAATCAATTTGGGGGTTTTTAATTTTATGCATCTTGCTTGCAATTGATGCTTGTTCTGGCTTTAATTATGTAGGTATGTGATAGTAGGGTGCTTTAGAAGCAAATTTCAATTGATTTGGACTTGATTTGAGCATGTTTGAGTAAATAAGAGCCAAAAATTTGAAGGGATGTGGTGGTCACCAACGGGAATAAAGGGAAAGGGAGGGTCAACCAGTAGTGGAAGTAGGTCGTCGGAGGTGGGGGAATCTGGGCGGCGGGTCCAGTGGGTGAAGGGGTTGCTTCCAATGGGAAAGGGAAAGGGAAAGGGAAAGCGAGGAAGAAGGGATTGGTGTGGTGGTTTTTTTTTTTTAATTTTTATGTATAAATTAAATCTAATTTTTAAGTAATTTTGGGTGGGTTAGAGATTAATTAGAAGATTAGGAGGAAATTAGAGTATAATTAAGGAAATAAGTTTCCTCTCGCAAAAAAAAATAAAAATAAACGTGGTGCTTTTTAAACCAAAAAGCTTTTAAAGGGTTTTTTTTTTTTTTTTTTTTTTGCAAAATGATGCTTTTAGAAGATTTATTTTAACAAATTTTCCTAATATTTATTGTATTTTTATTTTATATTATAGATATAAGACTAAATTCACTTTTAATTTTAGATATTTATTTTATTTTTATTTTATATTTAATACGGTACATAATATTTTATTGGTTTATTCCGGATATAGAGAGAATTAAATATTACGGAGTAGTACAAAATGGAGTGTTATTATGTATTTATTACGTTTATTCTTAAGTAATTAGGAGGATTAGAGGTTAATTAGAAGATTTAGGAGGAAATTAGAGTATAATTAAGTTAATAAGAACATAATTAAGGAAATGGGTTTCCTCTCGCAAAAAAATAAAATAAAATAAACGTGGCGCTTTTTTTTAACCAAAAAGCTTTTAAAGTTTTTTTTTTCAAAATGATGCTTTTAAAAGGTTTTTTTTTACCAAAATTTCCTAATATTTATTGTATTTTTATTTTATATTTTAGGTATACGACTATATTCACTTTTAATTTATAGATACTAGAGTGTTCCGAGATATATAAGAAAAAATATATTTAAAATATGAAAAGTTGATTTTGATTTGCTGAAATTTATATAAGGTAATAATACTCCGTACAATTTGCAAGTTATAATCCTTAGTTTTCTGTCAAAAAAAAAAAAAAAAAACCTTAGTTTATATTTTTAATATAGAATATATTATTTTTATAAATTTATATTCCTCAATTAATTTTTATTAGAATTATATTGATTAGGTGAAGAATTGAAGTTACTAATGGTGTAGCTATTTCTTGTATCAATTCTCTTTCGTAGTGAGTAGGGGATTAGAAATTAAAATTGTTTTTTTTTTAAAGAGATAAATTAAACCTTTTAATTCAGTGTATTTTTTTTTTTAATATTAATCATTATTAGTAACAGAGATTAAATTAGAACTTTTTAAGATATAATTGAGAGAATTTGGATGGTTGATTAAGATTAAATTGTAATCTTTTATATACTCTATACAGTAGACAAATACAATCAAATAATAATCCATAACCAATAATCAAAAGTATTGAAAACCTTGCAACGTTAATTTTTTTTAATCAAATTTTATAACTTGATCAATATCTTTCAATCCTTTTACATGTACATATGCAGAAGTGCAGAACTTATATATTCACACATAAGAAATTATAACCAATCTAATTACATAATATGATGGCACATTCCTAATTCAGTTTCCAACTCTCATTAGTTATATAGTAAAAATTAATTATGTATCTGATAAAAGCAAATAAAAGCAAAATCTTTTATTTCCAAAAGCACCCTACTTGGTAAAGATCAAACCAACCGATAAAAGCAAAACCTTGTATTTCCAAAAGCAGTGTACTTGGTAATTAAATATCAAACCAACATTATTGATTCCTGTCAAAAAAAAAAAAAAAAAAAAAAAAAAAAAACAACATTGTTGCTCTGAAAAATAAAATTTTAAAGATATAAATATAATCAGTACATTGATAACATTCATTATAATCATACGTTGATAACATTCATTATAATCATACGTTGATAACATTCTTATATTCAAACAGCTTAAAAATTAAAAGTTTATAACCATATACTAAACTGGGAGTCCTCATAATAATCTGTATAACATTATAAGCGAAAATTGATTGCTTACCGAATCAGAAACCGAAGATACCCAATAGAATAATCTACTATATCACCAAATTTGATTTTGTCTTTGTTTAGATTTTTTTGCTATGAAGTATGAGTATTTATAACTGTAGTAGTAATCTTAAGTTTGGTATATTATGAGGAGTGAAAATGAAGGTGGAGGTGTGGAGTTTTACAACTGATTAGCACATTTAGTGGTTTTTATGGATGGTGAATTGTATGTAAACTACTTGTGTAATCCTTTTTTTTTTTAAAAAAAAAAAAAGAATTTAAATAAGTGAAAAAGGCGGGAGTAAATGAGAGTGTAGTATTGGGGATTTGGAGGATTCTTCTGAAAAGTGTCTCTCTAAATATATATTAGAGTTATTTTTATTTTTATTTTATATTTAATATGGGACATAATATTTTATTGGTCTATTCCTGATATAGGAGAGAATTATATATTACAGAGTAGTACAAATGGAGTGTTAATTATGAATTTCAAAACTATAAAGAAAAAATGGCCGCTAAACAAGATTTCTTGCTTTTCATTGCCTAAGTGCGTATTTTTCATTGCCTAAGTGCGTATTTTATTCGCATTCATATCTAAAATTTTCTGTTTCGATTTTTAAAATGTACTTTTCATAAGTTTTTTTCTGATAAGATTACAAAAAACTGGTAATGTTCTTAATGGTCAGAAAAAAAAAAATCAAAATGAATGAATTGAAGTATTATTACTATTGTATCAATATTCATAATTATAAATGTATTAAACGTTTATTTGATAGGAGGTTCTATTAGAGATAACTATAGATTAAATTCGATCGGGTGGAGCTTCACCCGCATCCATTCATCATTCAAATAGCTCCATCCACATCCATCCATCACCCGCTTCACCCTCATCCATATCCAAATTTGTCCATCCATCATCTGCAGATGAAACGGGTGTATCGGATGACTAATGTATGAACATTTTATGATAAAAAAAATCACATAAAATTTAATTTATGGTCGAATCTACATTATTATTTTTAAAAAAATAAAGAAGCATTAACTACATATTCTTTGTAAAAATTAATTTGCAACAAATAAAGTATATTTATTGTATATTTCAATTTTATTGAATTAAAATTTTTAGATTAAAAATCTTTATATCCCTACCTTATAAAAAAGTAGAAACTTGTTCTTATGAATAGTGCACGGACTTTTATACCCTTCAAAATGTTATTTTACCTTTGTACCCCTATTTACCCTTCAAAATGTGTTTTACCTTTGTACTCTTATTTGTAATTTTGTACTCCAATGGTCCAACTTCAAATTGTTCTTACTCGTCTACATTTCCTTACACATTTGAGCTTTCTCTCCTCCTCTCCATGGCTCCATCTCTTGAAAGCTTTTAACTTTTCTCTCTCCACACTATCATTGCCATTTCCGAGTACTAAATTCCACATCTTTGTTCACCACCTTCCCATAATTCCCAAATCAAATTGTGGCAAAAAAAAATTGGCAATACCAATATATGGCGGTTGTTTAATATTGTTAGCCTCTGTGGTGGATTAGGAATTGGTCGTTTCAGTTTTATCATTGATGATTCTTTCTCCATTTCGTGTTGTACCACCACAATTAAGTAATGCTAATATCAACACTGCAAAAATAAACAAACAACAATTCTGACATTTGTTCCTTTTCTGCATTATCATTGAAAAACCTAAGAATTATATTCTACAGTGACTCTACATAGTATTTCAATTAAAGAATCACCATATACAAATAGTAAAATAAAGATTTTTTTTCAATATACAAGATATTTCACACATAACATTCAACTTAGCACGACTACAAACAAACAATGCATAAGCTATAGAAATACTACTTCCGGTTCAATGTACTCGCAACAAAGGGGTATTATTTGTGAGACATAAAATATTTCTTTGATGCGAGTAAATTGAACCAGAGGTAGTATATTCCTTTTCCAGTCTTTTATTCCTCCATGTGAAGTGCAAACACAAGACAAGTAAAATTAAGTTGCAAAGGCTAGCCATTCCGCACGCAACGCGCGCGTTGGCTGCCCTAATATGTTAAAAGGTGGATGGTTAGCTGATGAAAAAAAAATCATCATCCACGTCCAGTCCAGTCCATTATCCACTTCACCTCACCCGTGGGTTAGTGAATATCCATCTAATATTGTCATTCCTAGGTTTTATGATAAGTAACTTGACGAAAAGGTTTTGTGTGAGACCGTTTTACGTGAGTCCATTTATATTGCACACAACCATCACCCACCCACTGCCACTATCTAGCCGCTCCGGCGACCACCCTCCCCCTCCCATCCCCCAGCGCAGCAGTAGGCAAGACCTCATAAGACCCCCTAAATCTTATAGAAACAACCAAAGCCTTAGAAACCACAGCATAAACCATAGACACCAAGAGGACAACAACACCCACATGAATCAAAAACGCAAAATCAAGATGAAGCTTAGATCCCTCGAGCTCACATTTAGTCGACCCTTCAACCCCACTAAAACATCAAGAAGACGACGACACCCTTCCGGAATAAACGCCTCCACAATTCCACATAGAGCGACAACCCAATTTGCAGAGCCCACAAAGTTTGGAGGAGATTAAGTTAAAGACTGGTGATGTTTCAGCAACAGAATATTATGGAAATCATAGTTAATTAGTTATATGGTACCTCATGCTTTAAAAAAATAAAATAAAAGAATTTTGTTAGTGGGGAACAATTTTGTCAGGAGATTATGGAAGGCATCAAGAGCAAGGGAGAGTATGGAGGTTGAGTTCTCCTGTTTTCAATATTATGATGAATATTGTCGAATATCTTATAAACGAATATCTGACTATTATAATTTCTAACACTTTTAATCTAATATCTGATAATTATAATTAAATTTTTGACCATTACATTCTAATATCTGATAATTCTAATCTAATATCTGATAATTCTAATTTAATATCGGAGTATTATATTCTAATTTCTAACATTAAAACCTAATATCTAACACTTATAATCTAATGTTTGAACTTTTTTGTCTAATTTTTGACACTTTAAATCTAATATATGATATTTATAATTTAATATGTGACCATTATTATCTAATTTATGACAATTGAGAATTTTTTTTTTTTTTTTTTTTTTTTTTTTATGTTTGTATGACCGGACTCACATAAGTCCGTTCTATACAATACTTTACCCGTACGATTATATGGGTACAACCTAGTTGTATACTTAATACTTGTTTAAATCCTTTGTGTAAAAGCCATGACTACATACTCTATAACGAATTAACGAGGTCATTTAGTTAGTGATAGAATGGATATAGTTTCTTTTAATAATTTTTCTGTATTTCTCATCCTTTCTTCCAATGCCTTAAAAATTGCTCTTATTTGGAGGGTTTTTTGATGTTTACTTTTTTTCTTACCATTAATAACGAGGTCGATTTACAAATAACAGGTGGTTCATTTGCATATTTAAGAGTCGAGTTAGGAGATTTCATGGCGTTCATAGCAGCAGGAAACATCATCTTAGAATACGTCATAAGTGGCGCAGCAGTTGCACGCTCATGGACATCATACTTCGCCACCCTCTGCAACCACAAACCTGACGATTTCCGTATCATTGCAAATCACTTAAGCCCTGACTACAGCCACCTCGACCCAATCGCAGTCGTTGTAATTGGCGTAATCTGTTTTGTTGCAGTCTACAGCGTCAAAGGCTCTTCCCGTCTCAACTACATTTCTTCCATCGTCCACGTGTTCATCATCGTCTTCATCATCATCGCGGGTCTTACTCATGCCGATACCAAGAACTTAACCCCCTTTATTCCCTAGGAACCTCGTGGTATTTTCCAGGCCTCGGCTGTGCTTTTTTTCGCGTATGTTGGGTTTGATGCAGTGTCGACGATAGCTGAGGAGACGAAGAATCCTGGAAGGGATATTCCTATTGGATTGGTTGGTTCCATGGCTATAGTTACCGTTGCGTATTGCTTGATGTCTCTTACACTTTGCCTCATGCAGCCTTATAATCAAATTGATAAAGATGCTCCTTTTACATTAGCCTTTGAGAAGGTATTCTTCTACTCCGATCCTTACACTCCTTTTATTTATTTGGACTATTTTTTTTTTTTTTTTTGGTGTCTAGAGAGCAGTGGCGGATCTAGGATTTTTGAACTTATGAGTCACCATCAATAATTGATCACTTGTTTCAATCCAAAAATTATATATATAAAAAAAAAAAATTATATTTCACCAAAATGATTTAAATCCAAAAATAGGATATAAAAATACACACTATAAAACTATTACATTAAACTATTCTACTGGCCGACAAAACGAGACCTGTTATTCTACTGGCCGACAAAACGAGACCTGTTATCTAGAGAACAGGTCTCTAATGACGTGATGGCAATAGCAGCAACAAAGATACCACCTATATGATATTTTAATAGGTGGTCTCTTTAACATTTAAAAAACAGACAGGCTAATCTCAAATAGAAGCAAAAAAGAGACCGCCTATCTGTAATAGGATGTCTCTTAGATTTTTTTTATTTTTTATTTTTTTTTGTGCTGGTGAGTCACGTGACCCACTGTGCACCTTAATAGATCCGCCCCTGCTAGAGAGCCATAAGAGCTATCTCCTGGAAACGGGAGGGAAGCTCTAAGCCTCTAACCACTTGAGCTATCCCTCACTCTCTCATTTATTTGGACTATTTGATTGACACTCTAAAATGTTTTCACTTGTTCAATTAATTACACGTACTACTATGTCAGATGCTTACCACACTTTTATTTTTACGTTTGTCATTATATAATTTCAACTATTAATATCTTAAAGGAAATTTTCACATTTGCTACCACTAAAAACACCATGCTTCACATTTGCTACCTGTTTAAATTTTTTTTTTTTTATTTTACTACCACCTAAAACAGAGTTTGTTAAAAATCACTACCACTTGCCTTATTCTATTACTATTTCCGTTCGTGGGCCCACTCCACCGTTTATCCACCCCCTTGCAGCCACCCCTCCTCCTCACTGCCACCCCTCACCTCCCCCCTCCCCTGCCGGCGCCGCCGCGCGAACCCACCCCCTCCCTTTCCCCCACCCTATGCGCATCCAATCCCCCCTTTCCCTTTCCCGTTCTTAAGCTCCGACCCCCACCCCGAACGAAAACCACCCCCTTTCCCCTTCCCTCCACCGGAAATCAGCCCCCCTCCCCTGATTCCCCCACCGAAATCGACCCCCTCCCCTTACCCTATCCTTTTCGGCCGTCCCTAACCCTAAACCACCACCCCAAAACCACCCTAAACAAATTTTAGGGTTTCGGTTGTGGTGGTTTTGGGTTAGGGATGGCCGAAAAGGGTAGGGGAAGGGTAGGGGGGTCGATTTTGGTGGGGGAATCAAGGGAGGGGGCCGATTTCCGCTGGACGGAAGGGGAAAGGGGGTTACGGTGGTGTTGGTATGGGTTTTGGGGGTTACGGTGGCGGTGGTGGTCTGGGTTTGAGGGTGTCGGCTTAGGATTAGGATTGTCAATTTTGGGTGGGGAAAAGGGAGGAGGTGAGGTCGCCGGCCGCCGGAAGGGGGGAGGGGGAGGGTGGCAGATTAGGGGAGGGAGAGGGTGGCGGATTAGGGGAGGGGTGGGTGGGGTTGCTGGTTTTTTTATTTTTTTTTTAATTTTTTAAAAATCTTTTTAATTTATATTTTTTTTTATTTAAATAAACTTAACGGAAATCCTAACGGATTCCGTTAAGTGGTAGTGATTTTTAACAAAGTCTGATTTAGGTGGTAGCAAAGTGAAAAAAAAAAATTTAAATAGGTAGCAAATCTGAAGCGAGGCGTTTTAGGTGGTAACAAATGTAAAAATTTCCTTTAATTTATGTTGAGTAAAAATGGTAACAGTTAAAATTAACATTTTAAAAATAAAATTTGAGGAAATATAAATATATATTACAAATACATATAACTGTGTTTTTTGTTTGAATAAATCGTAATGCATAGTGATAGTAGAATATCTTAACAAAGTAGTATTAAAAAATTTACAAAACTTAAGCTATGACTGAAGTACTAGTTTTGACCGTACCACATTTTAATATATATTACTAACATGTAAATAGTTCATATATGTCGATAATTTTATTGTTATTGGCTTGATTACAATATTAATTTTCAAATATATATCTATTTTTAATTATTTTTTGAATACAAAATTAAAAATATTAATGGTTAAAATTGTGTAAAGGCAGTAACCTTGGTGTGCTAGCTCTAACAATTCTAAACATTTGCTAATATGAATGTTCAAACATAACTCTAATGTACCACATATGTTTGTATACTTACATTTGCTATGGAAATATTTTTAGGTAGGAATGAATTGGGCGAAGTATCTCGTAGCCATTGGTGCTCTAAAAGGAATGACAACCGTGTTATTAGTCAGTGCAATAGGCCAAGCTCGTTACCTGACTCACATAGCGCGAACACACATGATGCCTCCATGGCTAGCTCAGGTGAACGAGAAGACAGGCACTCCAAGAAACGCTACCATTGTTATGATGTTTGCTACTGCTATTATTGCATTATTTACAAACCTCGACATCTTGTCTAACCTCCTCTCAATTTCCACCTTATTCATCTTCATGCTAGTAGCATTAGCCCTTCTAGTACGAAGGTACTATGCAAGTGGGATAACTACACCTAGTGATCGTAACAAGTTTGTTATTTTCGCTGCTCTCATTCTTGGCTCTTCAATTGCGACAGCTGCTTACTGGGGTGCTACACAAACGGGGTGGATAGTATACACCATCACCGGGCCTATTTGGTTCCTTTCGACGTTGGGACTACAACTTTTTTTTCCACAAGCAAGAAATCCTAAACTGTGGGGTGTCCCATTGGTTCCTTGGCTACCATCTGCGTCGATTGCTGTCAACATATTCCTTCTAGGCTTAATTGACAAGGACTCTTACATTAGGTTCGCGATATGGACTTGCCTTCTAATGGTTTATTATGTATTCTTTGGGTTGCATGCGTCGTATGATACCGCGATTGAAATGGCAAAGGTAGGTGTGGAAGAGAATGCCATGGAATTAGGTAAAGTTGAAGCAAAGAAGTGTCCTGTTACTCATGAAGATTTAGAAGGTCACAGTGGGAACAATGACGACAAAAGTTAGTAATATATAGAATGTTTTTTAGTGTATATAAGGGACAATGTAGTGATTGTTTCCTATTTATTTCTTTTTTGGTTGTTAGATTACTATGAGAAAATTTGTGACTACACAAGTATGATTGTTAATAAAATTAGGTGGGAAAATAGTTATATTATTATGAAAATACACTGTTTTACAAAAACACTTTTACAAAGTTAGTGATAACAATTTTTAAAACAAGACGGCTATTTGGCTACAATATTACAAAAATAATTTAAATCTCTCAAATATATTTCAATTCGTACGAAAATTGTTGAAGAGAAGAAGGCCTATAAATATTACAAAAATAGTTGCTTTATAAAGAACATATAGCTATTTTATAAAGAATATCTAGTTTTATATGTTTTTTTTGTAAATTTAAAGAACATTTATAAAAAAGTACATTTTATTGTATTATATATAATGTACATTATATTATATTCGAGTTATATACAATTGAAGGTACTAAAGTTTGGCAAAAGTTGCACAAAAGGTACCAAAGTTTGAGAAGTTGCATTTAGAATACTCAACTTGCTACAGCAGGTAAACTTGCTTAAAAAAATAGGAAAAATAAAATTTTGACAAAAAAAAGAAGGGTACTAATGTTTCTGCACGGATTGAATTCATATCATCACAATTCACAATCATCATCTTCTTCCTCAATTCGAACAATCAAAACCTCTTACAAATCCCCTTTTCCTCCATTTTTCCACTCAATCATGGATTTCCCACAATTCTAAAATACCCCATCAAATCAAAATTATCAATAAAATAAGCTCAAACCAATTTATCAGTGGTGAATTCATCAATAATGGACTTATTCTTTCAACGCTCATTAGATGATTTAATCAAAAGAATGCGACTTCATTCCCCAGAATCATCAACACTCCTTTCATCTTTCCTCTCAAAAGCCATTGAAGAAATTCGTCGCGAAATTAAATCAACAGATCTACTAATAAAATCCACCGCACTCCTCAAATTAACTTATCTTCATTTAATTTATGGGTTTGAAATTTCTTGGGATGCTTTTCATGTAGTAGAAGTAATCAGTTACCCTCAATTCAATCTCAAAAGAATCTCAGTAGAAGTAATCAGTTACCAATCAATTCAGGAATGCTAGAATTTCAATTAAAAATAAATAAATAAATAATTTAATTAATTGTTTCTTCTAATTTTTTTTATTTTATTTTCTGCTTCTAAATTGAAGGTTTGTTAAGGAGAGAGAAAATAGAGGAAATGAAGGATTTTTGTTGCAGTAATGGAGGAGAGAGAAAGTTGAGAGTTGGTGAATGGTGATGAAGGAAATGAAGCTTTTTTTTTAAAAAAAAAAAAAGAATATAAAAGGGGGAAACCGGTTGGAGCAAGGTACCACTTGGAGTTTTACCTGTTGTAATAAGTTAGAGTACTCTAAATGCAACTTCTCAAACTTTAATACCTTATTTGCAACTTTTTCCAAACTTTAGTACCTTCAATTGTATATAACTCTATTATATTCTAATGAACATATATGTTATAATGTTGGTTACATGTTTAATGTACATTGTATTATTTGCATCATGTAAGTATATGAAAAAAGAACATTTTACTGTATTTTAATGCGAAAATTATTGTGTAGAACGGACTCATGTGAGTCCGTTCTATTTACTGGCCCGCGCTCGGCCCGTTTATTAAATATTAGCCCGCGCGTGGCCCGATACTTAAATAGATCTTTTTTTTTTCGTCGTTCCGCCTTCCTCCTTCTTCTTCTCACCCAAGATTTCTTCTTCCACTCCATTTCTAACAGTTACACTCCATTACTATCGACTTAATTTCACGTTTCCGACTAATTCGCATAACTACTTCATTTTCTAGCTTTAATTTCACTCCATTACTTAATTTTTACTTCTTTATAAACCCAAACATTCTTCATTTTCGACTCAATTAATGCCGTCGATTAAAGATACTTCTCTCTTAAAAGTTTATCAGAAACGAAGTAAAGAAGCTCGAAAAAAAGAGAATACAGTTGCAATGACTGAAAGGTTTTTATACTTCAGTTATTTTCTAGGTTATACTTCAGTTATTTTTTTTTTAAAACAATCATTTTTATAATTTATTATTCCGTTTTGTAGGGTCGATTCAAAACCACCATTGAAGAAGCGTGGTCCTAAACCTGGGTCTAAACGAAGTCGACCTGTTAGGTGTGAAATTGTATTCTATTTATTTTGCAAACAGACATAGCATTTTGTATTTGTTGTTCCATGTTGAATACTTGTATATTTTCTTGGGAAATAAACACACATATGTGGTTATAATATTGTATTTTGGTAAGTCAGGAATAAGATTATTATTTTCAAGAATTATATTTTATTAGCTAGGAATTAGGATTGTTTAGTCAGATATTAGATAGTGTGCTTAAGGAATTGGTGAATTCAAGTCAGACATATATTAGGAAATTTATATCAGGAATTGATCTAGGTTTATGAGTAATAAAAAAAAAAAATCAATTGATGATGTCAATAGTTACAGTTTTGTATTTAAAAATTTGAAGCCAGAAATAAGATTATTATAATCAGGAATTAGTTTGCTTTCTTTATATATTAGATAGTTTAATTAAGTTCTTTGTTTATTCTGTCTAGCATAACATTTTTATTAGCCAGTAATTAGGATTGTTTAGTCAGATATTAGATAGTGTGCTTAAGGAATTGGTGTATTCAAGTCAGACATATATTTCTAAAAGTTGGAAATTATCAATTTTTAGTTAGATATTAGCAAATTTATATCAGGAATTGATCTAGGTTTATCAGTAATAAAAAAATAAATTAATCAATTGATGATGTCAATAGTTACAGTTTTATATTTAAAAATTTAAAGCCAGAAATAAGATTATTATAATCAGGAATTAGTTTGCTTTCTTCATATATTAGATAATTTAATTAAGTTCTTTGTCTATTCTGGTCTAGCATAACATTCTAAATTTCAGGAATTAGCAAGTTCAAGACAGAAATAAGATTAATATAATCAGGAATTAAATATTATTAGTCAGGAATTAGAATGGTAAGAAAATAAATCTCATGCTTTGGTGAATTTTATTCAGGAATTAGCACGTTTTAGTCAGATATTACATAAATTTTGTCAGTTATTAGTCTTTTATTTTACTCAGAGTGGTTCTCATTAATGTGTGATGTGGTTAAAGATTTTTATCTTAAATATATGTTTTAAAAATCACTCAATTTAATGTGATTTTTTACTTTTCAAACTTTCAGAATTCTTAGTGAAGATGATATTGAAGACTTAGAGCTTGGTAATAAATCTGGTCCTAGTCATCTTTGTCAAATCATGGAAGATTTAAGTGATCAGCAAAAAAAGGATGTGAAAGATATTGGGTTTGGTGGGTTGCTTAATATGAACTTGAAGGATAATATCAGTCACCAGTTGTATGGTTATATGGTAACTCATTATAATCCTAAGGCAAGAAATCTGATTGTTGGTAAAAAAGAACATGCCATTCATATTGACAGTTCTGATATTGCTGATGTTTTGGGCATTCCTTTTACTGATATACCTATAAGATATTTCCAAAAACAAAAAAGGTTTTAATCCTGATGATTATTTGAAGTCAGAGTGGAGGAAATTTTTAGGTTTGGATGGAGATGAAGATTTGGAAAGAGAAAATGAATCTGAAAGTAACAAAAAAAAAAGAAGAGGAAAACTGGTGATGAATCTGAAAAAGGTATTGAAAGCAAGAAGAAGGAATCTGAAAGACCAGCTCAAAGTAAGAAAAAGAAGACATATGTTAATTTTCTTACTTATCAATCATTGTTTGAGAAATATAGGGGTGGAGGTTATGAATTTAAGAAACTCTTTGTTATGTTTGCTGTTTCTAATTTTTTGGCTCTAATTGGTGATAAGTCCCCTAATTTTAACATCATAAAGTCTTTGGAAGATGTATGTTTCATAAAGACTTTCAACTGGGCTGGATATGTGATGGATTGGTTATGTACATCTATTGCAGATAGCACTATCAAAACGGTTTGACAGTTCGGTTTCGGTTCGGTTTGAAATCGGTTCGGTATTTAATCGGGTCGGTTTGGAATCGGCTTAATTGTCTCACGGGTCGGTTTTGGTTCGGTTTAAATAGTTATCGGTTCGATTCGGTTTTGGTTTATTCTTAAGCGGTTTTAATTCGGTTCGAGTTGTAAACAGTCCGAGTAGTAAACGGTTCGATGCAGACGGGTTGCGGTTTGTTAACGGTGCGGTGTAAAACGGTTTTTATTCCGGTTCAAACAGTTTCGGGTTGGAAACAGTTTCGGGTTAGAAACAGTTCGGTTCTTTTTTGGTTCAGTTTATAACTGGTTCGATTCTTTTTCGGTTCAGTTTTTAACTGGTTCGGTTCTTTTTCGGTTCAGTTTATAACTGGTTCGGTTCTTCGATTGTTTAACCACTTTAACGTTATTCATATCGGTTCCATGTCAAGTTTACTAAATTATAGTTGAATCTGAATTAAAACATAGCCTAATAGTATATTCATGTCACTAGCACACTCCCATCTTTATTTCATTATTACTCACAGAATCAATGTAATCATATGCTTAATAGTCTCTGTGAATTAATTTTATTTATTACGCCTTCAGCCAAGCCTTGGTACTTAATATTACAAGCTTTTTGTTCATTTGGTTTCATCACCTCAAATGTATACATGACTAGAGGCAGTAGTGTTGCTAATAGTTTGAGGCAGGGCCTGAGCCTGCTTGTTTTGCTCCTGTTTGTGAACACTCATTATCCTTAAGACCTTAATGAATGATTTTCCTTGATATTTAAAAAAAAATATTCTAAGATTTCTAATATTTAATCCATTTAATTATATCCCCGTAAAAAAAAATAAAAAATTCCATTTAATTATATAAAAAAGTTTGTAAACGGTTCGATTTAGAAGCAGTTTGGTTCATAAATGGTTCGGTTTATAATCAGTTCGGTTTTTAAATGGTTCGGTGCAAACGGGTAGCAGTTTGCTAACGGTTCGGTGTAAGCGGTTTTTTTTCCAGTTTAAACGGTTTCAGGTTGGAACTGGTTTCGGGTTAGATACGGTTCGGTTCTTTTTCGGTTCGATTTTCTTTCAGTTCGGTTTATATTCAGTTCGGTTTGTTAATGGGTTCGGTTCTTATACGGTTTAACATTATTCGGGTCGATTCGGTTTCGGGTTTACTAAAATACGGTTCGGGTCGGTTTTCGGTTTCAAAAAAATCGGTTTTTAATCCGTTCGGTTCTCACTTGGGTCAGTCGGTTTCGGGCAGTTAAACGGTTTCGGTT